AGATGCCAGTGACGGTAGACTTGGGCTTGAGTGTGATTTGTCCAATTCTCACTTTTAATCACTCTCCAGTGGTAGATGTTCATCTATTTACTTTTTTTTTTGAAAGATGCCACTGTATAAAAAAAATGTGAAAAAAAGTTTAGCAGTACCAGACCTTAAACTACATTATAAGGCAGTAGTTATCAAAACTATCTGGTACTGGCTAAGAAATAGAAAGCTAGATCAGTGGAACAGAACAGACATACAATACACAAGAGTAAATGGTTATAGTAACCTTGTGTTTGACAAATGTAAAGATTTAAGCTTTTGGGATAAGAATACACTATTTGGTAAAAATTGTTGGGAAGACTGGAAAGCAGTCTGGCAGAAATTGAGTATAGAGCAATGCCTTACACAATTTACCAAGATATGGTCAAAATAGATACATGACCTAGATATAAAGGGAGATATCATAAGAGAACTAGAACATGAAACATATTACCTATCAGACTTATGGATAGGAGAAGAATTGATGAATAAACAAGAGATAGAGAGCACTGTGAGATATAAAATGGATAATTTTGATTACATTAAATTTAAAATGTCTTATTCAAATAAAACCAATGTATCAGGATTAGAAAGAAAGCAGAAAATTGGGGGAGCGGAATTTTTTAGATTGTTTCTCAGATAAAGGTTTCATATTTCATATATATAGAGAACTTTGTCAAATTTATAAGAATATAAGTCATTTCCCCATTGATAAATGGTCATAGGATAAGAACAGGCAGTTTTTGATGAAGAGATCAAAATTATTTATAGTCATATAAAAATGCTCTAAATCATTATTGATTAGAGATTTGAGATATTATCTCATACCTAAAAAACTGGTTAAAATGATAGAAGGGGAAAAGGACAAATGTTAAAGGGGATGTAGAAAAATTGGGATACTAATGAAATGTTGATGGAACTGTGAACTGATCCAACCATTTTGGAGAAAAATCTGGAATTATGCCCAAAGAGTTATAAAACTGTGCATGCCCTTTGATCCAGCAATACCACTATTAGGTCTGTTTCCCAAAGTGATCAGGGAAAAAGTAAAATAACCTATATGTTCTAAAATATTTATAGCAGTTTCCTTTGTGGTAGCAAAGAACTGGAAATTGAGAGGGAATGCCCATCAATTGGTGAATGGTTAAACAAGTTTGGCACCTGATTCTGGTGGGATACTACTGTGCTATAAGAAATGATGAGCTGGTTGATTTTAGAAAGGCATGGAAGGATTTGCATGAAATAATGAGAAGTGAAATAAGCAGAACCAAGAGGACATTGTATACAGTAACAGCAGTATCATTCAAAGAATAATTGTAAACAACCAAGTTATTCTGAGTACTATAAATACTCAAATCAACTGTAAAGGACCTATGAAGGAAGATGCTATCCATTTCTAGAGAAAGAACTGATAGAAGTACACATAGTATGGTTTTCCATTTATAAATCTGTATCAAATGATGGCCTTCTCAAGTACAGGGTGGAGAAGGAAGGAGGGAGACAGTTTGGAACTTAAAATGTAACTAAAAAAATTAAATTAAATTAATTTTTTTAAAAGATACCACTGAAGCTCCATAGAATGTTCCCTTATTTCTACCTATGTTAGTCCTATACCACTCTACTCCATCTTTCTTAGTGGGCCTCTGGGACTTGCATTGTTGTAAGTCATGCTTCATATTAGAAATGTTCCACATACACCCCCAATTACTTTCAATATATTTTGTATTTAATTTTCTACATATGTGTTGTTTCCCTCGAACCTAAGCTCCTTGAGGGCAAGAACTGCCCTCAGTTCAATTTTATCTTTGGATTCCCAATGCCTAGCGCAAGGGAGATACTTAATAAATGCTTATTAGATTGGATTGGATTGGATTGTGGAAATTCCCTTTCAAGGCACAAGGGACTAGAGACTGGTTGTTTGGAGAAAGATCTTGCATATCATGGTCAAGTTTCCAGAAGTTTCTATGCAAGGATGTTGAATGAATTACTGCCACTTTTCCTAATGCAAGTCTATGAGTATAGACCTAAAACATGACTCTTAACATGTGAGAGGTAGTATGACATAATGTCAGTCAACTAGCATTTATTAAGCACCAGTTATGTGCCAGGCACTGTGCTAGATGCTGGATAGAGGGCCAATCTCAGAGCCAGGAAGACTTGAGTTCAAGCCCCGCCCCTGACATATGCTGGCTTTGTGACCCTGGGCAAATCATTTGACCCCTCAGTGCCCCCAGGCAACTCTCTAAGACTGTAAATGAAAAAAGCATTTAAATATTCGCATTGATGGAAGTGGTTTCCTCATTAGGAATTCCTACAGTAGAATATAAGACCCCTCATTAGAATTTGAGCTCCTTGAGACCAGGGTCTATGACTTTGTCTTTTTTGTATCTCCAGAGCTTAGCACCTTGCCTGGCTTTAAGTTAGTAAATATTTATTGACTGACTGGTTACATCAGTAAAATCATGGATCCATACCCAAACCTTCCCCACTCATTCCCTAAAATGTAAATCAATATGGTACAGCTGAAAAAGCTCTAGGCCAACAAGATATTAGTTCAAGTCTCACCTCTGACCCTGGTCAGGTCACTTAGATGTCTCAGAACTAGATTTCTAAAATGAGGACTGTGATAATACTTTCACTATATACCTACCCCACAGGGTTGATTGGAACAAGGGATTTGGCAAGCCTTAAAGCATTAGATAAATGTGACCTGCCGTTATTAGCATGCTTCAAAACTTTGCAGAATTTTAGAGCTAGATGGGGTCCTTTAAGATCATATACAGAAAAATATCAAACTGTATTCCTTTTTATCCAATAGTAGGCTCCCCTCACTAAAAACATTCAAGTATATGTCAAGAAATGATGTAGAACAGATTCTTGCATTGGCAAGAGATTAGGCTTTATCTATTCAAGCATTCATTAGTTCATTTGTTCATTTAGCTAAAGGACCTTTAGCGTGTCCTCTGATTCTATGAGTTTATAATTCTTCATTCTCTTCTTCCCCTTTCTTTTCTTAGTGCTATTGCTTTGATCTAGCAATGTGACTTCCCTCTACCCAGTGGCATTATTTTCAGCCTTTCTTTAACTCTACCTTCATGACACTGACAAAAACTTTTGACCCGTCTTGTATTTATCCTCATTTATTTGAGGAGCTTTTTTCCTTCACAGATGAGAAAGAATAAATTTCTTTGGGATGGTGAAATCTTGCCTGGTAATTTTTATCTCAGCATTACCTATTCTGAGAACAGTTCTGGTTGATGATTCTTGAGGTTCCCTAGTTTTCCCAGGCAGGTGTAATAGCAAAACTTCTGCTTTAAAAAAAGAGGTAACACCTATTTGTTTCAGTTTTTTATATCAACATTGCTATTTTCATTCATTGCTTCAAGTGTCACTTCTCACTTAGCTCAAATACAACCAGCTTCTTAATCCAACCTCTCAAAATAAAACATCTCAAATGAAAAAGAAACAGAAGGCTGTCCCAGAATCAGTGACATTTCAGAGAGTCCTGGGAATGAAGCTTCCTCAGACCACTGAAGCCATCACCTTTAGAAAAGCATTTCTGGGAATAAGACCTGATCTGAGGGCCTTGAATTCTCTTTCAGCCTCAAGATTAGATGCTCCACTGTCTTTATGTAAGTGGTATCAACCAGAGCTGACTCGGTCTGTCTGAACTACTTAGTGAAATAGGAAGGAAAGAGGAGACGGAGGAATGCAGAAAGAGCAAATCACAGAAGACAGTGTGTCTGGCACCAAAGAGAAGATCTCGCAAATATAGAATTCTAAGGGCTTTAATAAATGCGTATACAGGAGAGTTTGTCACTGGGCATCAAACATACTGCCCTGTGGATGCTCCGGAACAGACTGGTGACATCCTAGAAGGCCTCTCTCTTGACATTTTTCTTTCGAGAGAGAACTGAGACCCATATCAACAAAGGGTTTGAAGTCTGTGAGAAAGCATCAATCCTTTGGGGTTTCTTTTCCCCATTAGTAAGAAATGCAAGAGCCACTAATTATATAGCCAGAGATAAGTGTCCAAAGAATAAGCATCCACCAGTAATCCCTAATTTTACCAAATATCACTCTACAAAACACAAACTATCATGAAGGGAGCTTCGTAAAGATCGGTGAACCTGAACTACTGCTCTTTCAAACATAGGCTGATGGATCTAGACTGGCAGGATACTCAGAGGCATTCTAGTCCAACCCCTTAGTTTTCAGGTAAAGGAACTAAGGCCTCAGGAGGTTAGGCAACTTGTCCAAGGCCATGTAGGTAGCAAAAGGCAATGGTGGGATTCGGTCTCATATCCTCTGACTCTTGCATGAATGGTCTTTTCCACAGGAGCACATGACCACATGTACCTTACATCATCAGCAGAAATGGTGGATATCAGAATGAGTAGGTAATAAGTAGAAATGTTTCCTGGCCACTGCTAAATGAGGCAAGTAGTACATGTAGCACATCACAGGAACCTTTGGATCTATTTCTCCCAGACCCCAAATTACTTCTTGATGTAGGTGTGCCTCACTTAATTCAGTAGGTATATTGTGGAAATGTTATGACTAAATTGGATATTTATGATTGATGGTGGCTTAGAAGAACTTGTTATTTGAAAGAGCACTGGATTTGGAATCAAAAGACCTGGATTCAAATCCTGCCTCTGCCTCTTGTTGAATGACCTTGGACTTGATGAAATGGGACAGCTTAAGGCTTAAGACTTAAGTTTCTCATCTTCAGTTTCCTCATCTACAAAATGAGGGTATTTCATTAGTTAGTCTTTAAAATCTCTTCTCACTATAAACCCCATGACCCTTAAAGAATCTTGATGTAAGTCCTTTTGTGAATTGAAGAATTCTGTTGTAATTTGAATTGCCATCCCCTCATTTGTCTATTTTTTAAATTCTGATTTGGATATGTTGATTTTTTTCATAAAGTAAAGGAACACTTGTACTATGATAACTTGGAACTACATTCGCTGTCGCTGCTTACCATAAGCTCTTCAGACACTGGAACAATATACTGGGGAAGCCACACTACTGTAAGGTACAGTGTAAAGGGATTGGCTTGGGAATCTGAGGATGTAGGTTCAAATTTTGCCTCTGATATTTACTACCTTGGGTAAGTCACTTAATGTTCCTGGGTCTCAGTTTTATCTATAAAATGAAGGGGATTATAACAGATGGCATCTGTAGTTAGTTAAAGCTCTCAGTTTAAGATCCTCTCTACACCAAAATGATTTGCCAGTCAGCCAGAGATTTTTAGGGGGTGGAGAGGGGAAAGGGGTGGAGGGTATTTCTATAGATATACACACCTGAAACCAAAAACAAAACTATTATTTGACTATAATGTTCATTTTTCAACCAGATGTGGTGATGCTATACATATGTGACTCAAAACAGCTGGTCATTTTAATTGATTTAGAAGAGAAATCAATATAGTTGTCTCATAGTGAATATTCGGTAAATTATATCACTATTCAGTATCAGGAAGATGAAAAAAGTGGTCAGCCTACTGTATTCTTCCCTTTTCACCCAATTTCTCAACATTAAGCAGCTTGGGACTGCATGTTTCCTTAGTGGCCCTGAAGAGCAAGTGCTACATTTACTACCCCAGCTATTCTGGGCCCTTGGAAAATCTGGCTCGTTTTTAAAAGTCTGTAGCTAGAGAACTTAAAAAAAGTCTCATTGTTTGAGCCTTTTTTTAATCACTAAAATAAGAAAGGAGGTATAGGAGGGGACTTGATGTGACCCAGTAGGCCACCGTCAGGTCCATCTGAGATGTTAAAGGAGACTCAATTAGTTTCCTGGAATTAAAAGAGACCTCCTAATTTGGATGGATGTAGGGATTCTCCACGTTTATGAATGCAAAACACCATCTCTTTATGACTGGCCCAGCAATTTACTAACAAGCCCATCTATCACCTTTGGCTAAACAAGACTGCTATTTTCATTCATTTACTTAACAAGAATGTATTAAACATTTACTCTGTGACAGGCATTATGAAGTGAAAAACAGTCATAGCTTTTGAGAAGGTGACATTCTAATGGAGACTGACAGTAGCCCTTCCTGGTCCAAATTGGTCCCCACAGGTCTGAGTTTTTTCACTGTCTCTGCTCTGATCTGTTCCATTAGCCCATCTCCATATGTGGGTTCCTACCCTTGCCTTTTGCAGTTTTCTGGGGGAACACAGACCAGGCAGGGATGAAGTATCCTATTTTCAGAGTTGGTGTTTTCTTAACCCTTTCCAGAACACTACTTATTACAGTCATTTCAGCTCATACCTGGAGGATGTTTTCTGAAACAGAAAGTGCCTCTTCAGCACCATTAATGTGTGATTTCATACTCTGCCCTGTAGTGGGGTGGGGTAAGGTACAAGGCACTTTTTTTACTTTAAGTACTCTAAAAGGGCTGACAACCCTGTCTTTATTTGTACTGACTTTCCCTAAAGTCATCAGTACTCTAAAGAGTCATGCACATTTTTAAGGCAATGAGATTAATGTTCAAAGCTTCATGTTTTCTCATTTCCATTTCATCTCAGAAGGACTTTCAGGGAGAAATTGAGTTGGGCCATAGAAAAATGTCAACATAGTTCTTCCAGTAGGCACAAATGTGATAGCTTAGATTCCAATCACATTGCCTCTGAGTCATAGCTAACAGGCAGAAGTATACCTTCTTAGGTCTCAAAGGGACCTCTGAGGCCACTTAGTCTAATCTCATTTTACAAATAAGGAAACTGAGGTTCAGGGGGTTAAATGATTGAGTAAGGTCATACAAGTAATGTAGGAGGTAGGATTTGAATCTGGCTAGGGTTCAAAGGCTAGGTGCCTCCATGGATAGAAAACCGGCCCTGGAGTCAGGAGGACCTCAGTTCAAATCCAATCTCAGACCAGACACTTGAGACTTACTAGTTGTGTGACCCTGGGCACCCAGGTCTTCTGACTTCAGAACTAATGTTCTTTCTACTATACCGCGATGCCTCCTAGGATTTAGCTGCAAGTCATGTATTCATTGAAATTTACCTTGGTGGAAGGAGTTTCCACACACAGCATTCTCCACATTAACCAAAAAAAAAATCAAATATGGCTCAAACATTCTTAACCTTTAAAAATGGCAAATCTTAGTGCTTATATCAGAATATAACAACGTCCAACATGATTGAGTGTGTTTAATATAAGTATGCCATATTAGACTATGAATTTGGCTGGACAATATCATGAAATGATCATAAATATCAAAATATGTTAATAAAACCTAATCTGTAAAATATCACCTTCTGAAAATATCAAATAACAGTAGGGCTCAGAGATCCAAAAAACATCAAAGTAATAATAATAGCTAATATTTATATAGCAATATAGGGATTATAAAGTGCTTTAAATATATTCTTATTTGATCCACATACAACCCCATGAAATAGATGCTATCATTAATGCCCCCTCAATTTTTACAGATGAAGAAAATGAGGCAAAAACAGATTAAATTACTTGCAGGTCATATAGCTAGTAAGTATCTGAGGGAAAATTTTAACTTAGTTCTTCCTCCCACCAAATTCAGCACACTACCCACTGCACCATATACTCTATGTTATTCTCTATATTAGTGCCAAGTGTATCCAAAGGAGAGTTATACAAATATACTTCACTTTATGGAATGAATATAATATGAAGTCGTGCATAAATCATGTTTTTCTAAATCAAATCATATTTTAGATATATTAGGAAAGGTGAAATTTTAAAAGAATTTGTCTGTGTATAGTTTTATACACTGAATAATCACACCACTATTTTTTTCCTAATAGGAAGCGTGGCATAGCAGATAAAGAGTCAACCTCTTACTAAGTAGGAGAAAGAGGTAACTTTCAAGCGAGTATATTCTTGTCAGTGGTCAACAGTCTCCACGTTGCGAATTTGTCAGGCTTGGTAATTAATGGTATTTTCTCTGCTAACTGGAAGGGAAGAGAAGCAACATGGTGTAGTGGATAGAGAACTATCCTTGGAGTCAGGAAGACTGATAAATACTAGCTGTGTGAACCTGGGCAAATTGTTTATTTTCTCAATGTTTCAGGCAGCTATAAATTGCAGAGAAAGTGAATTGAAAAGGAGAAGTTTCCTCATTGGGAGATCTCTACATGAGTGAAATTATAGATCTAGACCAAAATAAAAGTTTATCTTGTATAAATTCAGATTATCTGGACATGGTTGGTCAAAAGCAAGATATATCTGCATTGGCAGTGATCGCAAGGGAAGCTTCTATTAAAACTTGGGAGATAGATATAACAATTTTTCATTATTATTTATAACAAGGAAGAAGAGAACTGACATACTAATGCAACCTTCATAAAAATAATCAGTAGAATTGTCATCTCAACACAAAAGAATTATGAGAAGCTGAATGGTGCTATGGGAACAATACTTAACTAGAAGTCAAAAGACCTGATTTTAGGTCAATTTAATCTAATTCCATTCAACAAGCATTTATGAAGAACCCATTAGTTGTAAAGCATACTGTACTGGGAACTGGGGATAAAAAGACAAAAAACAAATAATCTCTATCCTCAAAGAGTTTACATTCTACTATTCTTGAGGCTCTGATAATTACTAGCTTTGTAACTTTCCTCAATTTCTTCATCTGTAAAACAAGGCTAAAAATACTTGGACAACCTACCTACAGGGCAGATATAAGGATAGTGCTCTGTAAGGAGCCATTTCTAGTTAGATGAGTTTGGGATAATCTCAAAATAATGTCAAATGGAAATAATGCACTTCTGGGATTGATCTTTGCTATTTCACATTTAATGTAAACAGGGCTTGCCGTATTTCATGGGAACCAAGGCATGAAAAGCATAATCTCTGTTAAACCTTTCAAGTCCCTGACAGGATGGAACAAGGAATAATTGGTATTCAGGCATCTTCACAACCTCAACTTCTGCATTTTCCCCATACATTAAAGGAAGGGAGACTGTGGCCTGAAGAATAGCCATTTGCAATAATTAAGACACTCCTATCTTTAACCCACAGCTTCCCTCTTCCCTTACCCCACCTGAATGCCACCTCTTACTATTATTCTTGTGAATCATAAACTGCCCTTTCTTTCACCACAGTGATTCATACCCTGGAGTTGTGATCTGATGAGCTGTCCCACTCTGGTGCATGTAACTTACATCCAGGCTGGAAAATGAGCATCACATGCGTGTGACAGGTTTGTTTTCCAGTGCCTATCCCACCCACTTCACGCCTCTCTCTACTCCCTGGTCATGGGAGCCCCAACCTCTGCCCCAGGACACTGGCTCCCTGGGGCTTCCACACCAGCCAAAGAGCTACCTGCTCTCTGACCCCATGCCCGCCAGGCTGAACAGCGGAGGCCAAATGAGAACTCACATTTTTGCCAGTGCATACTCTGCAGCAGGATGTCACCTCTTCTCTTTGAAGCAGACAGTTTGGCTTCTTTTATGTTTGTCCTGGGTTGTGCTCTCCTACCACCAGGGCCACAGCTTGCTCAGAGGATGTTTCCTCCAGCTTTTTAAAAGCCCTGAGCTCCCTCTGCGTGGGGGATGGTGTCATCACATCCTCCCAACCACAAGACCTGTGCATTTCCCTTTGGTGCATGGGGCTCCTCTCCCCACTTTGAGATCCCTCACAGGTCATTGAACTGGCCAATGATAAGCTAGGAGCCTTCAGCTGGGTTAGAACATCAGGAAAGCCACTAGAATTTGGTGGGGAGGGACTACAAAAACTGGTATGCATATGTGTGTGCACATACAATTTGGGTTCAAGTGTCATAACTCATTATACCAATGATGAGCCTGGAAGACCTTCTGGAAGGGTTTTGGGGAGGCGGGGGAGGGGGTGTATTGATTATTGAACACTCAACAAGACTGAGTCGTCATTACATCTCAAACTGTCTTTGGCCTTCTGCTTAGGAGAAATGCTAATCCCTGGGGGTCACCCCAGATCAACAGGAGGAAACACCTGTAGACACTTCAAGCTTCACTAAACAACCTTCTCAATTCTTTTAATACTGTCCTTCTGTTCCGCGCATTTTGAAACATAACAAGGCCACCAAAAAAGATGGCAGCTTCCTGAGTTATAAAATGAGATGGTTGGAGTAGGTCACCACTGAGGCTTCTTCTAGCCCAGACTCCATGGTGGAATGTAAGGAGTACTGTAAGCACTGGGAGCCAAGGACCTGGGTTTCAATCCTGCCTCTGATACTGACTGTCTGTATAACCTTGGGCAAAGTGTCTTGAATTTCCTTTGCTTCATTTTCATCATCTGCAGAATGAGAGGCTTAGACTAGACCATCTCTGAGGTGTTTTCCAGCTCTAGAACCTGAAATCCTCATGTGAGAGCCTAATATAGATCCAGGGTCCTCCTCACCCAAAAGAAGGAAGTAAAGGAAGGAGGCCTGGTCTAATTCATTTCTCAAGGGTGACTCAGCATGCTATAAGTGATAAGGGAGTTAGAAGACCTGGGTTCAAAACCTGAGCTGTGTGATAGATTTACCTGTTTAACCCTTTTCTGGGTCTCAGATCCTTTATCTATAAAATGAAGTAATTGGACCAACTGGTTTCTAAGGTCCCATAACTGAGAAGCTATGGATAAAGCCCTTCTCCTTGTGTTATTGCCTTAAGTTAGATGGGGTAGGGTTAGTCCTCGGCAGAACTGGTCACCTGACACGGAAGCAACAACCAGATCCACTGTACATGCCTGGAGATACCAGCCTTTCAGTCTCCTACAGCAGTTCCCAGAACCTCTGATGCTTGAACACATACTGACTCATCAATGGGACTATTAATCAAGGTTCAGGACTAAGCACTTAATACAGGAGGTATTTTCCTCATTGTCCATGAACTGCCATCATTTGGGTCTGTGGGCCTGCTCTGATGGACTGGGGGCCTGGAGGCAGGATGTTAGAGAAAAGTTTCTCCACAATATAGGTGACTGACTCAAAGGACCAGGAGAGTATTAGTGACTTTTCTGAGCATTGAGGCTCAGAACTCAGAGAGGTTCCATGTAATCAATCACTTGTTTCTCCATTACATGGTAGGTGGTAGCATCATACAGCCTTCTGGCTACGTTCAGAAATTTCCACTGGAAATAATGGTTCATAAGCCAATCCCCTGGGTTCAGTCACAGAAAGCCTGGGCTTAAGCGCCAGCTCTGTTACCTATCTAGCTGTGTGACCTCAGGCAAATCATTTTAATCTCTTTGGGCCTCATCTATAAAATGGGTATTCTATATCTTGCCACTGGACCCAGACGGCTCCCAAGGATAGAGTGAGGCTGGTGACTTAGCACAGTCCTCCCTCAGTTGAATCCAATTCACTTGTAAGTTATGGCATCACCTCCCTGATGGTATGGTCCTCTTCAAGAACAAAGGACAAACAACAATAACAACAACAATAATAATACTACACTACTTACTTTAAGGAATTATTAGGAGAGTCAGATGAGATAATGTATGTGAAGTATCTTTGTGATCCATAAATTTAGGGATGGCAGGGCCTTTCAAAGTCAGAGTCATCCAACCCAATCATTTCACATATGAGGTAACAAGGTCACGTGGGCAGTTAAAAGTTGAAAAACATGATATTCCATAAGATTTTGAATTGGAAGGAATCTTGAAGGCCATGTAATCCAAATCCCTTTATTTTAGGGGAAGTGACTTTACCAAGGTTACCCAGGAAATAAGTAGGAGGACCAGAATTTGAAACTAGGTCTTCTGCCATCATATCCAATGTTCTTTCCACTAAGGCATTATTATCATCATCATCATTATTACTTTGAGCTGGTGGGACTAGATTTTGCATCCCCTGGGACACCTGAGTAAATTATGAGGAAAGGGAGGGCATAGAGTGACAGTGCAGGAGACCCGGAAGACTAGGTCTGAGATAGCAGAAACAAAAGAAATAGCAGAAAATGGACCCACAAACATGCCTAGTTATAAACTCTGGCACCTCTACCAACCACAGGACGTGGGAAACAGATTCTAAGTCAGGGTTTCCAGCAAAGATACCAGATATCTTTGACCACATCTAGACAGGTATTTTTGGAAATGAGAATTGACCACATCTTTCAGTCACAGGGGTAAGTAAATATTTGCCATGAAGATACTGCTGTTCTTCAGAAGCCAAGTCCCGGCGTCAAGGCATTGATTCAAACCAACCAAAGTGGTCAAGGCACACACAGGGTACCAAAACATCTGGATGAATGTAAACAATTTAGTTAACCATACAGATGATTTCAATTACAGGTGTACCCCCTAATTTAAGAAAACCTAATGAACTTAAAAAATTTGAAGGTGACGACTGGTACATTAGGATTCTTTGCTTTGCCAGAAGGTTTCCATAGCAGGAGTCTCTGAAATAACTTTCTCTATTCGCTTTGATGATTTAATTCAGTTTGCAAAAATTCTATTGACCCAAAATATTTCAGAGGTAGATAGATCTATCACATAAAGTGAGTCACACCTACAGCCACATGCTAGACATCATACAGATTGAAGGTCCACAAAGATTGCTGAATTTTTCAATTTTCTTCTGGCTGTTTGTTGTTCACCCGGCAGGTAGAAGCATGCAGATTAGGTATGTAAATATATGTATGTTCTATATATGTATAATAGTACTTAAAGTTTTTTCAGGGATCACAAAAAAGAAAAATTAGTTATAAAGAAAAATTGACTCTGCCAATTTCTAATTTTATGTCCTTGGACAAGTAAGTCATTTCATCTCTCAGTGCCCCAGTTTCCTCATCTGTAAAATGGAGATAAAGTACTAGATTTGAACCCTGGATTGGGTTTGTAGTTTTTGCTACTTACTACCTGAGTGACATTGGAAAAAAAAATCACTTCCCCTTTCTAGTCCCTGGCTTACTCATCTGTAAAAGGAGGGGATTAGACCAGATGCTTTCCAAGGCCCCTTTCTGCTCTGAACCTATGGTCCTAGGTTTCTTCTTATACTACTAATCTCTGAGGTTGCTTTGAGGAAAGTACTTTATACATCTTTTAAGAGAGAGAGAAATGTTTCCAGTAATCAAAGTTAGTTTTGCCCCTAGCACAGTTAAGCAAACCACTCTGTCTGGGCCTCAGTTTCCTCATCTGTAAGATGAAGAGAGTCAACTAGATACTAGTCACATCCAGACCTAACATGCCATGGATCTTTTTTTTTTTAATTAATTTATTTTTAGTTTTCAACATTCACTTTTATTAGATTTTGAGTTCTAAATTTTCCCTCTCCCCAAGAAGGCAAGTAATCTGATATAGGCTATACATGTACAATCATATTAAACATATTTCCACTTGAGTCATGTTGTAAAAAAGAATCAGAACCAAAGGGGAAAACCACAAGAAAGAAAAACAAAAAAAAGAGAGGAAAAAAATAGTATGCTTCTATCTGCATTCAGACTCCATAATTCTTTGTCTGGTTGTAGATAGTATTTTCCATCTTTAGTCTTGGAATGGTCTTAGATCAATGCATTGCTGAGAAGAGCCAAGTCTATCAAAGCTGGTTGTCGCACAATGCTGCTGTTAGTATGTACAATGTTCTGGTTCTGCTCACTTCACTCTGCATCAGTTCATATAAGTCTTTCCAGGTTTTTCTGAAATTCTCCTGCTCATGATTTCTTACGGAACAATAGTATTCCATTACATTCATATACCACAACTTGTTGAGCCATTCTCCAATTAATGGGCATCCCCTCAATTTCCAATTCTTTGCTGCTATAAATATTTTTGTACATGTGGGTCCCTTTCCCATTTTTATGATCTCTTAAGGATATAGACCTAGAAGTGGTATTGCTGGATCAAAGGGTATGCACAGTTTTATAGCCCTTTGGGTATAGTTTATGGATCTTTTTTGATATGAGCAGATGATCTCCCATTTCTCCTTTTCACACTGAAGCCATTGAGACAAGTTATTCACTTTCCCTGCAAAGCAATGGCATATTGCAATCTCCTTCTGAGTGAGGTATTTGTGCAGGAGAAGAACTATCTTGCATTTTTCTGTTCAAAGAAGAAATGTGATATAGTTATTTTTTTCTGGCTTCATCACTTCTCAGAGTGTCTAGCACAGAGGGTCTCAGTGCCCAGTCTGGCATCCTCCACATAGTAGGTTCTCAATACTTGTTTGTTGAATAAAATTGAAACAGACTTGAGTTGAGAAGCCTGCCATCATAAGTTGCTTGCCTCTGGTTCCTGGCCAACACCTGCAAGCATTGCTAACAGCTGCATGGCAAGTTACTTATCAAGAAGTTGACTTAATGGTTGGGATTTAAGACTTTATCATCCACTAAGTAATTAGACATTATGACCAGGTAACAATTCAGAGGAAGCAGAATTAGCTGTGTTCAAACAGAGCCTGCAAGATATGTGCCCAAACAAGGGTCATGTGGAGAGGTCCAAGGCTCTAGCAGCCAAAATTGTTATCTCTCTGTAATCACTGTAGCCTAGCCTTGTGTGGCAGATTTTGAAGCTATACATCCATGCCTGGGAGCCTTAGACTCACAGTTTGTTTATTTTGTTGGTATTCTAGAATAAATTAGTACCTCTTTCCCAGGAAGCTCTGAATTGGGACAGATGTCTTGTATGCTCTCACAGTAGCAGCCCTCCAAGATTGGCAGCTGGTAAATGTCACAACTCCCATTTCACAGATGAGGAAATTGAGACCCTGATGTAACCAGTCCTAAGGCTATAGTAAGCCATCCAAGAAGAGAGTCAGAAAAAGTAACTATTTTGTCCTTGTTGCTTGTACTGCCCATAGAGCACTGAAAAAAAAAATAGCCTCTTCTAAAAAGAAGATGCTCTATGTTCCCAAGATGCTCCATACCCACACAGTCTTGTGGGCAGATGATGTTTTTGCTTTCATTCCATTTGTCTTTACATGCAGAATATCAAGTTCTCCTTACTTTTCACCCCACTCCCACCCACCCAGAACAAATTTGCAAACATGATTTCCATCCACTCCTCTATTTCAGAAGTGACATCTTCTAAAGATGGCTTTCCACATCAGAAAGAAAGAATTACAAGGATGCTTAAACAATTGAAAAGTGACTTTCACTTTTTTCTAAAGTCTTTCAAACCCACTACCTTAGACTGTCCCCACCTCCACACCAGGAAATTCTAATGAAATAAAATTCTGTTCTTATGGTAACATGAAGTATTATCTAAGTATATACACATGATCTCCCATAATCCTTAGATAGGATTTGTCATCACTAACCCAACTTTTAAAAACCTCATTTACCCTATCTGAAATTGCCTGGATGGATCAGTGGTCGGTAATCATGGTACTCCCACAAGCTGAAGTGAGTTCTAGAGACACAGGTAAAGGATTCAGGTGCCTCATCCCCACAGTTGCTTTTTTTGCCTGAAGCTGAAGCTTCCCAGGAGAATGTAGCTTCTTCAGGAAAAGAACTGCTTCTGTTCCATATTTTTATCCTTGTATCTTTGTGTCAAGCACAGAGCCTTGCACATAGAGGATGCTTAATAAATCCTTTCTGGATAAAAGCCTGGTTGAATGAAATTATCCCAGTGTGCATGGACTCCCCTGATGGGTACATAGTCACTAGGGATAAGTGTAGGTCCTGCCTATCTTTGATAAGCATGCTTCCCTTCCTTCTGGGCTAGTATACTTTCTGTCCAACTTAGGGGCAAAAAGAAAGGAAGTTGGCTGAATGGTTGAAATGATTTGCCGTTGGTCAGTCTCTTAAGGGAGCAACAAAGAACCAGTTCCTCTTTCTGAAAGACCAAGCTCTCCATAGCCACAGTATTTTTCACCTGGTATAAATATTGCATGCCCAAATACCACGGAAATAGAGAAACAGACTTGTAATAAAGACAAAAGTCATTTTTGTGAATTTGAGTTTACTCCAAAAAGAATAAAAGTCTTAACATGTCAAGGCAAATCTCTCTGCATTCATGCCATCCTCTCTGGAGCCCAGCCCAGCTGTTGAGCAATTTCTGTCACAGATAGAATTGCAGCATTGACAGGTGCCCAGCTTCTTCTAAATTATCAGCTCTCCAGATGGGTAATGCTAGAAGAGTTCAGAGGAATGATAATAACAACAACAATAATAACTAATATTTATATAGGAATTGCAGAGTGATGTGTGTATATATATATAAACTTATTTGATTCTCACAACAATCCTGTGAGGTAAATGCTATTATTTATCTTCATTTTACAGATTAGGAACCTGAGGCACAAAGAAGTTAAGTGATTTACCTAGCATCACACAGCTAGTAAATAACCAAGACAAGACTTGAACACATCTTATTGACTTCTCAGGCTGGTGTTCTGTCCACTTCACCAAGCTGCTTCTCTAGCATAATAATGATGACATGATAATGATGATGATGGCAATGATGGTGATGATGACAACTACTTAAAAATTAGGCTCATGTAATCATTGACATAGAGTTGGAAGATACCTCAGTGCTTATTTTTTCTCACTCTTCATTTTACAGTTTAGGTAAGGTTCAGAAAGGTTAGTTAACTTGCCCAAGGTCACATAGGTAGTCAGTAGCTGAACCATATTTAGACCCAAGTCCCTTGACTCCAAATCCAAGATTCTTTCCACTGTACCACAAATCCATATATCCTGTCAATCAAAAAATAAGCCTTTGCTACTGAGACATATCAACTGATTTTACTAAGTAGGAGTTTGGTGAAGGAGAGTTTGTGGTAACCACAGAAATGCTACAAGGGTAAGACTGGTGCAGCAGGCCAACTAATTCTGGCCCCAGAAAGCTCCATGGATCCCATCAGTCGATCAACCAATTAAGTATTTATTGTGTGTTCCAGCAGCTCCTGGGCTCACAAGCTCTTCCGACCCAAGAAATGTAACCCTACTTTTTTGTAGACAGGGAAAAAGAGGCATAAGCAATTAACATTTATATGGAGCCTACTATGTGCCAGTAGACAGCTAGGTGGTGCAGTGGATACAGAACTGGGCTTGGAATCAGGAAGACTCATCTTCATGAGTTCAAATCCAACCTCAGATATTCCCTAGCTGTGTGACCCCACTAGGCACATTACTTAACCCTGTTTTCCTCACTTCTTTATGTGTAGAATGAGCTTGCAAAGGAAATGGCAACTCACACCAGTATCTCTGCCAAGAAAACTCCAAAAATGGGATCAGGAAGAGTCAGACATGACTGAAATCATTGAACAACAACCATGTGCCAGACATGATAGAAATATCATCTCATCTGATCCTCATGACAACCCAGCAAGGGAGGTGCTGTTATTATCACCACTTTTCATATGAGGAAACTGAGGCAAACAAATGTTAAGTGCTTTACTCAAGTTCACACAGCTAATAAGTATCTGAAGCTGCTTTGGAGTCAGGTGTTCCTGACTCTAGGCCTGGTTTAACCACCTTGCTGGCATAGAAATGGAAAGTGGTGTTGTTACTGTTGTTTTTTTTCCCCCAGAAGTCCCACTTCCAATTGATGTCTTAACTCATAGCATCAGACACAAATTCCCTTAGCTGACTCAATCTTCTGGGTAACCTCCAGTCATCTTCTATTGGACGTAAGATGAATTGATGTCTCTCTTGTTTTTAACATTTCCAAATCAGGCCAAGGACTTCCAGTGCTACCTGAAAAAGCAGATGAAAGACACATGAACAATAGGGGGTAATTAATACATGTTGGATGCACCTTATACTCTGATCATTTGATGGATCCAGATTTTCTTTGGTAAGGCTGGGGACCATCTACTGATACAGATCACAACCCTTCCATGCCCTCTCATTCTGTGAAATTCCTATACAGGTATTTCCATAATTTGTAAATAGAGATTCAACCAAAATCACTAAAGACATACCTGTCATTCTTTTAACATGGTACCGACCCTAGTCACTTTGGCTGTTGGTTGATTGTTTCCCAATTTAAGTACATAACAACCAGTGGTATGCTGGTAAATGTAATAAACAGCTCTCCAAAAATGTGCAAATGAAACACTCTGAAGTTCAATCTGCATTATTAACATTTTTTCATCACTTTCTTAAGTCTAGAAATCAATAACAATAAATTAATGCCTGATTTGTATCACTTGCCAATTTCCAAGGTGTAGATAGATGCTCACACTAAAAATTAACAATCAGCTCTCATGAACCAGTATAAGCTGGCTCCAGGTCATCATTAACAATCCACCCCTCCATTCCCCTTTCCAGTCATATATGTCTTCAAAAGTGTCTTACATACCACTTCTTATACACAAGTTCGTTATTGGTAACATGGTGTGGCTTACTTAAACCAACCATACATCTTTCCATTGTCCTTCAAGATAGCTATAGTTTTGATTAGTCTGAGATCACAGCATTCTGTTATTCATACCCAGAGAGCATCACTAGGAAAATATTGATGCAAAATAAGAAAGATTGTGTGTCAGCAAGCAGTTTGGGATCATTGAAAGCCCTGAATGTGATCCTGCCCACTCTCCTACTCAATTCAAGACCTAGCTCTTTATCCAGCTGCAGTGCCAGTCAAAGTGTGTGTCATAGTCTGGGCAAAGTGTGTTTTTCATCTACTTTGTTTATCTACTGTAAATAAGTCTTTTGCATTGCTGCTCTTATCATTGAGGAGGCTTTGGAGTATTCCAGGACTCAGTGCATTTTCTACAATGTCATCAGCCAATGGAAGCATTTGTAGGACCTTGCCATGAGTTAGGATTCCTTCTTTTGTTTGGATTTTGTGCAGGACAGCCTCCATGTTGTTGGCAAATACAACAGGTGAACAAAAGTCTCCCTGTTTAGTACTTCCCTAGTTGTCAATACTCAGCAGGCTGAGTTTTATAGTTTTTAAATAAAAGTAGAAAAGCTCACAAGGGGAGGTAGAGCCAAGATGGTGGCAGGGACTCACCTTAACTCTCTTTCAAATTCCTCCAAATACCTTTAAATAATGACTCTAAACAAATCCTAGAGTGGCATAACCCACAAAAAATGGAGTGAAACAATTTTCTAGCCCAAGATAAGTTAGAAGGTTGGCAGGAAAGGTCTGCTGCACTAGGGTGAGAGAGAAGCACAGTCTAGCACAGATCATGCCAGCACAGACCAGGTCCCAGCAAACCAGAAGCAAGACTTGGGGCGACTGAATCAGTGGCAGCAATGGCAGTTTCCAGACCTCTCAACCCACAGACAATAAGGGGATCAGATGATGGGTCAGAAGGAGACTTATAGGAGCACCTTTGCTGGCACCAGGTGCAGGACTCTGTTGCTTTGCCTATACTATGTTCAAAGGGCTATAAAATCACGCATACCCCCAAAGAGATAAAAAACAAAAAGGAAAAGGACCTATGTGTACAAAAATATTTATAGCAACTCTTTTAGTGGTGGCAGAGAATTGGAAATTGAGGGGATGTCCATCAATTGGGGAATGGCTGAACAAGTTGTGGTATATGATTGTGATGGAATACTACTGTGCTTTAAGAAATGATGAGCAAAATGCTCTTAGAAAAACATGGAAAGACTTACATGAACTGATGCAAAGTGAAATGGGCAGAACCAGGAAAATATTGTACACAGTAACAGCAACACTGTATGATGATCTATTATGAATAATAGAGCTATTCTCTCAGCAATACAATGATCTAAGACAATTCTGTAAGACATGTGATGAAAGGCGATGTCCATCTCCAGAGAAAAACTGGTAGAGCCTGAATGCAGATCAAAAATGCTTTTTCTTTATTTTTCTTGGGATCTTTTTATCTATGTTTTCTTTCACAGAATGGCTTACATGGAAATGTGTTCTGCATGACTACACATGTATAACCTATGTCAAATTGCTTGCCTTCTCAATGGTGGGGGAGAGGAAGGAGGAAGAGAATTTGTAAGTCAGACTTTGAAAGAAAAAGAATATTAAAATTGTTTTTATATGTAATTGGGGAAAACAGTATTAAATAAGATTTTTAAAAGCTCACAAGGGTTGTCTGAGGCAATGCCAAATAAAAGCCCCAGTGAAAAGCAGGATTTGGCCAAAAGTATGTAAGAATCTTGTCCTTTCCATTCATTCCTCAGACTTTGCTTTCAGTCTAGATCCTGCTGGTGTGTGTGTGTGTGTGTGTGTGTGTGTGTGTGTGTGTGTGTGTGTG